CAGTCCTGGCTCATCTACGAAGACCTAGTGCTTCAAGTCGCCCCTCTGCAGGTGCCGACCATCGTGGTGTCGGCGCACGTGCTGACCGCCGGGGTTGTGCCACCCGAGGCGCGCCAGCAGTTCGCGCAACGCGTGGCCGATGAGCCCGGGAACACGAGCTACGGGCAGTTCGCCCAGCTCATCCAGGCCCGCGGCTCGAGCGGAAGGGAGCTGCAGTTGCGCGGCGTGCTTTGGCGGACGTGGGTGCTCTTGCGTCGGCGCCAGGCGGGCGACGTTGCGCTGGCCCGCAGCCGGCAGGTGTTTCCGGCGCAGCCAGCTGCCGGCGGTGGCCGGCGGCGGCCCTCATGAGCCGCTGATCATAGACTACAGCCCAGAGTGCCCGCTACCCGGCGCCCCGGCGTTCAAGCTAGAGCAGTTGGCAAACGTGGAAAATGCGCGGCAGGGGGCGACGACCGATTGGGTCTTCTCCGTCCCGCTGCACGACGGACGTGAAGACTTTGTTGCCATTGGCGGCCGCGTGCCCCCATCTGGCGGCGACGGACAGTCAGGGCGTCGGCGGCGGCAGCCCCGTGGCTGCGATCCTCGCTGGCGACCGTCGCACCAACGTCGTCGCGCGGATTCATATTTATCATGATTGCCGCGACGCACCGCCCGCGTGCGCCTGGCCGCCGAACCGCTTCAACCGGCCGCCGAATTTCCCGAGCACAGCCACCGCGAGGACGATCTTGATGCAGCTCAGCGCCTCGAACGGCCAGTTGCCATCGCACTTCTCGGCTCGCGAGCTCTCCCGCGCGTTCCTCGCTCGCGCGGCAGGGCCAGGGTGCGGGGCGGGAGGCGAGCGCGTGGCGGGCAACCCTCGGCCGCCCCCGCCGGGTCCAGGGACGCCTGTGCAGAGCGGGAAGCGCGTGGACATCCACCTCAGGCCGAAGCTCTGCACGCGCCGGCAAATCAGTTCTCCGCCGCGAACTTGGCGATGTCAGTGACCTAGAAGGCGGGGTGCGCGGTCTCGCTGCGCGCGCGTGGCCGTCGACCCAGAGACGAGGATGGGGTTGCAGCTCGAAGCCGGCCTCAAGTTAAAGTTGCGCGATGCAGGCGGCGCGCAGGGATTGTGGCTTGCGATTCGCCGACTTCGCCAGGAGGGACCTCAACAATCACAGGGGCCCAGTTCGGCGTGCGAGGAATTGGGCCAGCCCGCCCGGCTACTTTGGAGGCGCTGCAGACCGTCGACCGGCAGTCTGTCCAACGGGGCGCTGGGGTCGGCGGGCGCGGGTCGACGCTGGGTGATTCGCGCGCGATGAACCTGGGGCCCGTTTTTTTTTTATTGCTTTGGGCATGGCGGGCGTCGTGGCGCCCGCCCCCCCCCCCCGCCGTTATGACGCAAAGCTCCCCCCTCCCAGTGCGCTCCGGGCGCTGCGCTGCCGCCGTGCGCCGTGGGGTCCGCGTAGGTGTCTGCGTAGGAATCCGCATAGGTGTCTGGTCCGCAGTCGTCGTCGTCGTCGTCGTCGTCGTCGTCGTCGTCGTCGTCGTCGTCGTCGCGTTCGTCGTCGTCGTCGTCGTCGATCGTGGCTCGTCGCTCGTCGTTCATCGTCGTCGCGCGACCGGGCGCGGCTGGGGCGCGTTTGTACTCCGGGCCAATGGCGGCAATCATCTGGGGCTGGGGGGGGGCGGGGTCGATGGCGTCAAGTTTCGCGCAGGCGGCGTCTGGGAATGCTTAGGAATGATGGAGGACGGGTAGCGCTGGCATGTAGGTGGTGATCTGCACCACAACGCCTGTGTACATCTCAGTGCTCGCGTGCGCCGCAGCGCCTGCGTGCGCCGCGCCGCCTATGTACGCGGCAGCAGCCGCGCGCAACGCAGCGTCAGTTTGCGTCGCCGTGCCTGCGGGCACAACAGCTCCTGTGCACGCGTCGGCGCCCGAGTGCGCCGCATCAGCCGCGTGCGACGCAGCGCCAGTGCACGCCGCAATGCCTGCGTGAATTGCAATGCCCGTGTGCGCCGCGGCGCCTGCGCGCGCCGCATCAGCCGCGCGCGACGCAGCGCCGCTGTTGTGTGTGCTATATTTTAAGGAGTCCTCGTGACATGCTGGAGCGCTGGTGTATTCCAGAACAAATAATGGAAAGGGAGTCCTCATGGACAAAGGCGCGCCGCCGGAATCTACGAGTCCTCCCGAGTCCGCCCGCAACGCCCTAACTCCTCCCATTTGCGTCCAGGGGGCTCCAGCTAAATTGGCCGTCCGAGAACCAAGTGGACCGATTCGATCAACCACTCTGCGGTGCGCGCTGGGACGCGCGCGCGATGTAGCGCCAAGCCGCGAGTCAGGGGGTAAGGGGGGGGGATGGGGAGGTGGAGGAGGATGATGAGGGGGGAACGTCGCATTCAATTATTAGAAATTTCTTGGCGTGGCGTTTAGATGTCCGCATCAGATCCTCACGTACATGCTCCTTCTACCTGTCCTATGCGCGCAGGCACTGTGGTGTGCGCCAGCGCTGCGTTGCACGTGGATGCTGCGGTGTAGACAGGTGCTGTGGCGTGCACGGGCGCGGCGGTGCACGCAAGCACTGTTGTGTGCGCGGGCGCTGTGTTGCACATGGTTGTTGCGGCGCATGTGCGCAGGCGGTGCGTTGCGCGCGGCTGTTGCGGCATGCGCGGGCGCTGTGGCGAGCGCGCGCGCGCGCTGCGGTGCACTCGAGCGTTGTGGTGTACGCGGGCGCCGTGGGGCAGATCGCCACCTGCGTGCTGCTCGCGTCGTCGTCGTCGTCGTCGGTCGTCGGTCGTCGCTCGTCGCGTCGCCCGCGCCGGCGCGGCTGCGTTGCCGGAGCCGCGCGGCGGGGGGCGGCGTTGCGTCGCGCCCCCCCCCCGCCTCCCCCCCCGCCCTCTGTGGCGCCCGTCATCGCCGAACATGAGGAAGCGCGCGCCTGCGCCTGCGCGCGCCCGTCGGCGCCGACTCGGTCCGGCGGTTCATCGTCGGCCTTCCCGCCGACGGCGACCCAGACTTCGGCGGTGGCGAGGTCGCGCCTTGCGTTTGTTACGACATACGCCGCCGCATGTACCGTGACGAATGGGCAGACGGACGTGATCCTGCTGCCGGCGCCGACCAGGGGCGCAGATGCGAGGCGCGGCAAGGACTGCCGGGGATGGATCGACGACAATTTGCCGCTACCGAGTGATGTCGACACGGCTGTCAACGCCATGGTCGCCATGTTAGATGGGGTCAATGGGGGGGGCCAGCGAGGCCAGGGGGGAGGTCTTCGCCGCGTTCGTACGAGGAGCGAAGACGCTGGCTCGCATACTTGATTGCAGGCCAGGATGCTCTGCAGATGATGTGGGCGTTGCTGGATTTGTGTCGGAGCAGTGCCCCCTCTCCGCGGGCCCGGCCCCCGTCGGCGCATTCAACCTGGGCGGTGGCGCGTTTGGCGTAGGAATTAGATTTCACCTTGTTCCTGGCATGCTGCCTTGGCCGGGCCTCAACAGGCGCCTCATGCTGCCGCGTGTGACCGTGCTCGACGGGTTCAAACGCGGGCTCGCAGGCCCCCTGGAGCTACCGCAAGCTGCGATCGTCGACCAGGAGGATTACGGCGGGGCCTCCAGGCTCTATGGCTATCAACGCATGTGCAGGGGGCTCAAGAGGGAGTTCGCCTCCGTGGACGACGAATAGAAAACCGCGCCCGCCGCGCAGGTGCCATGCGCCTGCGCGGGCGGGTTGATCGCCGTGGATGTGCTTGGAGTAGCGGCGCTGCCGCGTGCTATGCAGCGGCGCGACTTCCGGCAGTTGGTTGGCGCGCGAGCGCACTTTGGTCGTTGTTTCAGCGCCGCGGGCTACGGGATCGAGCTCGAGAACGCGGTCTATTAGATTGAGGCGCTCGGGCTCAAGGTGCGCGACGTAGACTCCGCGGCGCGACATCTCGCCCTCGGGCGCGTCGATTTCGGCGCGCGGCACAAGCGGCGCCTAGCCGTTGACCTCTTCGGGCTAGAATGTGTGAAT